TGTGGCTCTTCCACAAAATACCGACTTCTGCGCATGGGCCACGAAGTTCCAATCGCACTATACGTGCGCGCCCGCACGTGGTATTTTGTGGAAGAGCCACACTCAAGGGGCCAAAGAGCCACATGTGGCTCACGAGTCGCAGTTTGCCTAGGTTAAGATTAAAATGTCCCCTGACTAGGAAGGTTTAAAATACTCTAATGCAAAGGAGTGTAAATATTTTGAGAATCAAGTTAGCCATCCATCTTGGGGAAGGCCAAGAGCTACTTTAAAGGGGATAAATTCCAATTCATTGATTAGTCTGACCAAAAACAGAACCACGGATCCAGAAGGACTGAAATGCAGACAACCCGAGAGAACCTTGCTTTCCTGGGAGAGGTTTCAACCCTCTCACCCCAAGAGAATCTGGAGAGAAAGGCCACGTGCCACCTGCTCTGCCCCTCCACCGAGTTGGGGAGAAGCTTCTGACCTTTTGTAGGAGGTGCTGGACTCTCTCTCTCTCTCTCTCTCTCACACACACACACACACACACACACACGCACGCACACAAACGCGTATCCTGTTGCCCCACCATATGGGCAATGAATCATTCACAAAGCTGCTGAATCAATTATTCATCCAAACCAAAGACCAAACACTTCGCTAATTGTCCGGGGAGGAGGGATGCAGGGGGAAGAGCAATTGATTGAAGGAAAAGGGATCCGTGCCAACCTGACAATTGGCAGTATTAATACTTCATTTATTTTAAACAAAACACAACAACAAGGAAGCACAAAGAGAAAGGAAATCGCCTCCTCTAAGTTATCTGGATAATTAATATGGGCTATGGGCTGCCTCTGATGCCCAACAAATGTGGGATGAATGAGGAGGTGAAAAGCAAGGGTGTGTGCATGCGTGCTCCTGGGGCCGGAGGAGAGGCAGGGGCGGGTCTGGGGATCAGGGACCCAGCTTAAGCGTGGTCTTCCACTCTCACTCCTCCTCTGCCCAGGCGTTCCCCCGTCCTGAGCCCATGTAGCAGAAATAACAATGTAGATCATGACTGTCTACAGTGTGTATGTGGGTACTGAGTTCCCAGGGCAGCGGAGACTGGCGAGGTTGAGGGTGGAGAAGGGGTGCGGTGAGTGGAGTGCCTTGATTAGGGCTGTGGGGGGAGGGCAGCGTGTTTCTCCTCTACTGTCCCCCACATCCCACATTAGTTAGCTAAATAACTCAGAGGAGGCTATTTTCTTTCTCTCTGTGCTTCAGGATCAGGAGTAAAATAAGGGCTGACTTGCTGTCCTTGTGGCAAATTCATTCTCAAGTGTCCATCCAGGCCCAGGACTTGCATTTCAGGACTGATGACCTGGGGGAGTTTAGCCCCAGTAAAGTCGTAGGATTGGGTTAAGACAAGACCAAACCGGTCCGGGCTGGGGTTGGGGATGCTACTGGGGTGGGGAAGAGAATAGGGAGATGCCCTCCAAGCAGTTTACAGGAAGGCAGGGGAAGCCAGGCTTGAATCCAGTTCATAGAAACAAGCTCTGGTCTCTCCAAAGGCAGGCAGCAGCTTTTAAATCCTTTGAATGAAATCACTGACAGAGAGAAAGCTGCTACGGGGACACAAATGCCACGCTGTTTGCATTGGAGAGTTCCCCTTGCGATAACGTCTGTTACGAAGGAGACGGATGAAAGTATAGGTGCAGCTGAACTGGGATGCAGCCTCGGGCAGGAACATATAAATGATCCCTTGGCAGGCACACACAGGGACAGAACATACTATGAGCCTGTGCCCCTCTTCTTCAAGAGTTGGAACATTTTTTATTCTTATTCTTATTTCTTATTCTCTCTCTTCTCTCCCACCTCCCCTGTGCAGCCCAGCAGCTCCCAGAAGCACCGTGAAACTTTCATGGCGCCTTCTCTGCAGCCCCAGGGCCTGAATGCAGCCAACTTCCTCGCTGTCCCCATGATTCCTTCTCCTGGGAGTAGAAGGCACGGGGAAGGCAGACAGGGAAAGGTGCCAGCAGTGGGAAGGTACCAGACACTCACATATGCCATTCCACTCGGCCTCCTGAACCCTCTGGGAGGCTCCTACTGCTGTCTAGGAAGGTAGGCGACTAGCCTACATCACGCCGCCAGGAAGGACCAGGCCTTGATCAATTCTGGTCGAGGTGGTCATGCCTCTACCACACACAACTTCTCAGCGGAAGTGACCGCGTCTGACTGTCAGTTATAAAATATGCATGAAAAACCCACTATAAATTCAGCATCAAGTTTAGTGCTTCATATGTATGCATGTTTACAAGCCTATAAGGGAGTGGGGAGGGTGTGGAAAATAAAACAGAGGAAAAGTACTGTCTTGACAGAATTTAATAATTTGGTTGGCTATTATAAGAATTTTATTTATAAGATTCTAATCAATACAGAAAAAAAAGGAGGAAAAGGAAAATAAAGTAAGGTCTAATGAATAGCAAACATTATAGAAATGAAAGAAATGAAAGCAAAGATCCATTTAATACAATATTAACGTGTTATGCTCTCTCAAAAGAACAACATTCAGATGTGTAATTGAAAAGCAACACACACACACAAAACAGAAGTATCGTGAAATTTTGATTATATAAATATGAAGGGATGGGAAGTAAACAGAAACTAGAGAGGAAATAAAATGGACTGATTTCTTGAAGTAGGTAAATTTAAAACCAGAACTGGAGAGAGAAAGTTTTAAAAAGGTACCAAGGGAAAAAGAAGGCCACACACATGAGCCTGGCACTGTTAGTGTTCATAGCCAATTACTGTGTGACTTACTAGGTACAGACCTGCTTTATGATTCTTAGGAGATTGTGATCATTACGTGAATACAGTTATTCAACTATAATTTGAAACCTATATTCTAAGTAAAGCAAGAGCTATGAATACAGATCAAATATGAAGTGATTCCGGGACCCGGAAGCCCATCCAAGATTCAGTACATTCTAGAAACTAATATGACTCACAGCAAGTAACAACAGATAAAAAATACAGGAACAGGAACTTCATCCCGGTTATACCAAAAATCTCTGTGGAGCTTAGAGTAACTCAAAGAATATATTTGCTCATTCTTTACATTTTATTTTTCAATTACAGTTGACATGCAATATTTTGTCAGTTTAAGGTATGCAACATAGTGCTCAGTCATGAAGCATGTATGTGACTTCTCAACCTACTCTGTGCAAACTAAGGCTAAGACAGACATCTGTAAACCGAAAGGCTGGCTTTCCCTCAGAAACTGGCTCCTGATCCTCTGTGTGGAGTTGGACAGATGTTAACCAGCAGTGATACCCAGGCCAACGTGGCTATTTTATAAACAGCAATCACCAAATCAAGGTCTCTATTCAAACTAAAAAAGCTTGAGAAAAAGATATCTTTTCTGTTGGGACAACAAGATATATATACACACAAGGTCAAGGAAAGAAGTTGCAAGCAACCCCTGGAAGAGAATTAGCCATCCAGGAAGCCGTTTCTGGTCCGTGAAGACAAAGATGGCAAAGGCTGACCCTGGCATACCTGACCTTGGTCAGAGATCCGGTGTCACTGGCCCAGTTCACATCCTTCCCTTCCAGCCACTCCTAGAGACCAGAGCACCCACCTCTGAACTAGACTATGTCCTAACCCATTGTGTCCAGCTGCCTTGTGTCCTATATACTACATTCTCCTCCAATCAGACCATTCCCTTCAAGAGTGTATGCACCACATCTAACTTCTCCTTTCCACCACACCTACCCATACCAAATGCCAGAGATTGGCGAGCTAACTAAAATCAGGCTTAGCCGCTGGCAGTGGCCTTCCAACCAGGGATGAGTACCAGGCTTACACTGGCGCTCAAGCTTCTAAACTCCTCACTGGGTCTCAGGCCCTCATCTATAACAATGGGCCAGCCTGGACCAGCGGTTCTTATCTCTCCAAGTGTGAGGTTCCCTTTTTAATGTCAAAATCCAGGATCCATTCTACCCCCTAAAGGAGTTATTTCATTAATGCAGTCGCATACAGCTTGGTTAAATAGATGTTATTACCCACCACTAACCCCTACCCCGCTTTTTATGACAGGAGGACATTGAGGCTTACAGAGGCTGGGTCACTTGCCTTGAACCACAGAGCTGGTAGACAGCAGAGCAGAAATATAAATGGCCCTGGCTGGTTTGGCTCAGTGGATAGAGCGTCGGCCTGCGGACTGAAGGGGTCCGGATTCGATTCCGGTCAAAGGCACATGCCTGGGTTGTGGGCTCAATCCCCAGTGGGGGGCGTGCAGGAGGCAGCCAATCGATGATTCTCTCTCATCATTGATATTTCTGTCTCTCCCTCTCCCTTCCTCTCTGAAATCAATAAAAATATATTTTTTTAAAAAAATGAAATATAAATGTGGGTCTGCTTGTCTACAAAGTTCAAATTATTAATTTAGTCAGTATGCTTTACTAAATGAAAAAAAAGCCACTATTTATTCAATAATGCTTTTAAGCGTATTTATATTTTATAAAACAAAATGGCACCCACAAGCTTTAGAAAAATGATACTGTGGCACACATTTCTGGGAAACATTATTCAGGAAACAGCCAATGCTGGGCATGGCCACATGTCTGCACACCCACTGCTCAGGGGGCTCCAGAGTCCCACGGCCCACACACTGCAAACCACTGGAATATGCCGAGGTGACCCTTTAGGTACATTCCTGCTTTCACGTTCTGTCCGTGGTCTTAAAATCTGAATGCCTGGGTGACGTCTTCATGCTTAGCTTCAGTTTGCTTTCAGATCAGTCTATCAGATTGCCAATAGGAAGAACCCACCCCGAACAGATTTGTTTGCTGGAGAAGAGGGGCTGGATGTCAATGTCACTCTAATAGACAAAAGCCTAAGGCCGGGGTGGGGAATGTCCGTAAGGGCCACAAAATCATTTGGTCTGGCCCTGTCAAGGCATTTGGGTTGAGTTAATGAAATATCTGAGCAAATACAGCAGGCTAATTATTAAGCTGGTAATTCTGTATGGCCTGCGACTGATGTTGTAATTACCCAAATGGCCCGTGGCAGAACAAAGGTTCCCCACCCCTGCTCTATGTCCCTCTTTTCAAATGAAGAGTGGGTGGAGGGTGAATTTCAGAGCACTTGGAGCGCTCAGTGGGAAGGCACCCTAAATCACAAAATTCGATATCCGTGGTGATTATTAGCCAGGGTTCAGTTAGCATCCAGGCTCATCACCATGACGTGCCATGGGCTTCGAGAGCAGAGAGAGAGACACAGCCCATAAACAAGCATGTGGGTGGGCTTGATCTTCTATCAGAAAAATAATAACCATCGAGCAGTGTTCTCAGCAAAGCATTTTTAAAATAATTCTCTGCTGAACATTAAAAAAAAAAAGCCCACGCACTCATCAGTTCTTACCCATTGTGTGACTCAGTGGGAGCTGCTCAGGGTGTGAACCCAGAAGGCAGGACCCTGTCTTGGCTCGACGCAGCGTTAGCAGATCTTCAGCATATAATGGGCGAGATTATAAGGTCTACAGACTGGGGTCTGGCACAGCTCCAATTGGTTAAACAAAATTATAGTTGAGGGCCAATATTGGAAGGAGAAGGCAAGAGAGAAAAGATGGAAGCCTCGAGGACATTAACCCTATGTACCTAATTCTGAGCAGACTCAGAATCGTTCAGGGAAACTGTTCTAGCTTTTTTCAGTACACAGGACCCCATCCCCATTCATTTCTGCAAATCTGTCCACTTCCCTGTTTCAATGGCCTCCCAGGGACCATCCTGGGTGGTGGCAATGAGGCCCCAGTGATGTGGCCCCTCCTCCCTCTCCAAACTCCCCCAGTCACTACCTTCCGTGTGTTCCCCAGGCCTGCGGTGCCCTCTCTCATCGCCACCCTTCACATGGGCCCTGCCCTCTGCCTCAACTCCCCTCACCCTGTCCCCTTTCCTCTTCTGTTTGTTTTTGTTTTTTAACCAGATGCTATTCAATCTCTAGGTCTCAATATCTATATCTTGATCCTCCTCCCTCAGATTAGGTTAAGGCCCAATTTAAAATCCTCTAACGCTTCTCCTTCGTGGTCCTTTATACACCAGTAAATTTAAGTTTCATTTAACATCTGTCTTCTGTGCTGGACAGCAAGCGCCAAGACCACAGAAGTGCTACCGCTTTACAGGGCTGTATCCCTCGTCCTCAGCACAAAGTGTGGCGCACAGGGGGTGCTCAGCTGTCATTGGCTGCCTCTATCCTCCCTTCTGCCTGTCCTCTCCTGACTCCCCCTATGTCTTCCCCATCCCATATTCAAAGTTTCACATATGGGTGCTAGGCAGGCTTGGCCCTGAGTGGGCGGGGCTGCGAGCTACATCACTCTAGTCAATCCCACAACCAGAGTTTTGATTAAGACTCAAAGCAAAGGCACCCCAAACCAGTTCCGATCCAGTTCAGGACCCCCTTGCCCATTCATTTGGTCCTGCACTAAGGAAGGACTCCCCAAGGACCAGCCTGGCCCCAGACGGATGGGTGGTGGGGAGGGGGGGAGATGCGTGGGACCCCCGCAGTGACCTCGATCACAATTCTTAATTGCAAATGCCATCTGAAGTGGGAAGCAGCCACACCTGTCACTCTGCCTCCCAGTCACTGTCCCAGAGTTTGAGTCCAGGAAGAAAAGCCACGACCTTGAGTCCCTCTCCTAACCATTCTGTTATCAAGGCCCAGGGACCTGACAGAAGAGTGGCAGCCGAGACGGAAGGAAATGACAAGGGTGAGGACATCAGAGCTCAGAGCCTCCTGTTAACTCTCCTCAGAGCGATGGCCAGAGAGCTCTGTGCAGGGCCTCTGATCCCTTTTCCTGAGGGAAAAGGGACATTCTCTCCAGCCTTCCTCTGTAACATGCCCACCCCTCCTAACCCGTGTGAAGTGGGGTCAGAAGACAAAGACAAAAAAAGGAGAGACCAAAAAAAGGGGGGGAGGGTGCCTGGGAAGTGTATTATTTTCACTGTTGATGAGGTTAACAACGAAGGTCTTCATTTCAACTTTTCCTCTTGGAATTTCTTTGCTGTTATTGATAACTGTAGAAGGATCTGACTAGTTGGGGTCAAATTAGATACACTACTAAAAAGAACTAAGACATGTCCTATGCTCAATTTGTCGTAAACTTCTGTCTTGAAACAAAATGACAGCGAATGAAAATGTTTAAATTCACCGTAGTTCTGAGATTTGCAAAAGGCTGCAATGCAACTTGTCTCGGAGGTTTGCAGGTTTTATGGAGATAAATGACTATTCGGAACGAGGTCTACAGAACCTTACTTTCCATTTCTCTACACCTTTTGTCGAAAGCACGCGGATGCTTTACGTGTAGTTTAACATTTATCTTCATAACATCCCTGTTGTGGGGGAAGCTCTGACTGCTCCCGGATTTCGTATTTTGCCTCCTTGTCTTTCAAAGCACTTTTGCTGAGGTGGCTACACGGTGGATCCAGCATGGGCTTTAGAATTGTTGAGAACAGAATTAAAACGCTGATCCCTCCCCTTAGTAACTGCTTGGCCTTGAGCGTGTGGCTGAGCCTCTGAGCTCTGGTTTCCCCCGTGTAAAATGGAGACGCCTTGCCCTTTGTTTCTACATTAAAAACGATACACGGAAGTGCTGACATGGCATGTGAAGGCTTCCACCTACAGAAGAACATGCAGGATCCTGGAGAACTAGGAGCCGTCGCCAGCAGTGTCTGCATTGTCATCATTCTATTTTCTTATCACAGGACCCGGTGAGGCAGCTAGCGCAGGTGCTGCCTTCATTTCCTAAGTGAGCTGCATAAGGGAAACTGAGGCTGAGATGGTGTAGTTGTCACAGAGAGGAAGTGTCACAGAGAGAATGTACGGTAGGCTCGGGCCCGGGGCCCAGGGCCCCGAGTCCATTTATTCCACTAGATGAAACTGTTTCGTATAAGCTGTGCATATATATTGCGGCCACCTGATCAAAAACAACCTCATTTCTTAACGCCGCCAGCTCGGTGGCCTGAACTCCATCAAGCAGCAAGTAGTGCCACAGGTAATGGGACATAACCACAGCTGAGTCCTGGATTTGGAGTGACACAAACCAGGATCCCAGCCCCTGCCCACCACCCCAGACAAGTGGCTTAGCCACTCGGGCCTCAGTTTTCTCCTCTGTGAAAACTAATTAATAAGAAAAAGGTAGACAAATTCATCCATCTCTCAGGTCTAAAGTTCAGTTATTAAGCCTTAGTAAGCCCAGCCTAAACCTTCCTTTACCTGCTCTTCTCCCGGCTCACACCTGCCCGCTCCGCTCTGCACTGGCCACCTCTGCCATTTCCTGACTTCAGTGACCTGCGCATTAATTACACAGAGCTGCTGCGGTTCCCACTTCCGTGACACCATTACGCTGAACTGTGGGCTGTATTTACCACGCAGACAGTACACAAACCTCTCCCACGTGAGGAGCCCTATGTCACCCACACAACAGAAATGCAAACACTCCTCTTCATATTCACTTCTACTTGTGAGTCCATGGATGGGCGTGTCTGCTGTGTCCAGCTCTGCTTTGCAAGCAGGGCCCCGACTGTCCAGCCGGCTCCCTCTTCCCCACACTCAGCACAGTGCTGAGCAGCCTTCAGAGGGGAGGTCCATCCCAGGCCCGTGGTCTGACTCAGCACCTGGCCGTAGTCTCTTTCCCATGTGGCCCTGAAGGAAGGTAGAGGCAGAAACTAGTCCCAAACCAAACACCCGGGGAGTCTGAAGCTTCCTCCAGCCCTTCTGGCTTCATTCCCCTTTGCTGACACCACGGCCCATTCAGGCCCCCACTCGGTTCTCTCTGGTTTGAGCTCCTGTCAATCAGTAAGGTGGCAAGATGCAGCCTCTCAGCAGAGAAACCATCCAACACCAGTGTTTTATACCCAGAAATGAATAGGCATGCAAGGTATATCTGCTGAATGAATCAATGATGAATCTCAGTATAGAAGAGAGACAGAGCACATGCAAGAGAAAACTTGTCGATCATCCGCAGAGCTATCCCAGCTCAGCCGCCTCTCACCTACCACCGGAGCCTCTCAAAGGACTCTCCCTGAAGGAGCAGGTGTGTCCCTTGCGCAGAGCTAACGGGAGACCTGGCAGCTCCACATTCTGCCTTTTGCCCACCTCTCCCCTGAATCAAAATCCCATATTCGAACTGGCCATCTGGAGGGCAAGGCAATGGAAAGAGGAATGTTCTGATGGAAGGAGAGGCTGCAAGCAGCAGCCTGCTCCCTGGGGAGGAGCGGGAAATGAAGGAGGAGCCTGTGAGGAGGTGGAGGTCCGTCAGGCGCGTAGCCACCAGCTCTGCAGGGAGAGAGAACTGGAGGGGCAGCCTGGCCTAAGGGCTGGCACAGCACCCCAACATCAGCATGAAGGCGTGGGACACCTCGTCTCCTTCTACTGACACAGCTCCTCTGAGTAGCTCCAAGCCCCTTACGTCACCTCAGCCTCAGTTTCCCCATCTGCAACTGACAAGCTCTCATACCTTCTTCCCTCCACTCCATCCTTGCCTTGCTCCCCACCTCCCCACTTCGCCCACTGAGAGCAAAGAAGACGAGTAGAAAACGGGTCTGCAGAATCTTGCCCAGCTCCCCGCACAGAGATGCGATATAAATACCAAGTGCTAGCATACTATCACCGCGGAGATTTAAATTGGGCCGGGGGCCCCAGGGCTGCGATCGCAACACCTCCCCCACATTCTGAGCACCCCAGAGACTGTGCTCTGAGAGGAAAAGTGTGCTTTCCTCGATCGTTAGCTGCTCAGGAAACTCGTATATTAGGGCGGCCTCCTTACAGAAACCCTCCAAAAATACCTACGGGAGTATATTTAGCTCCAGAGAGCGTCCTCCTACCCACAGGCTTCGGGCTGCACGTCTCTGCACGTGCCACTGGCGGCAAACCGGGTGGGCCATGGCAGCTCCCCGCAATTCTGCAGCATTTCCTCGGGCCTTTTCTCTTCCCTGTTCCCTTGTCTTCCCTCCCTGCCGGGTGATGCATCCTCTCCAAGGGCAGCTGAGGATATGGCCATGGCTTCCTTCTCCCTTCCATGCCCTGTCCTTGGAGTTGAGTTCAGTTAAAGAAGCCCATGCAGCACTAATCATTCTACGCCTGCTCAAAGCCTGCAGCGGCGCCCCACTGCCCTCGGCCAAAGTACCAGCTCCCCGGCACGGGCCACCCTGGCCCCTGTTGACCTCTCCGGGCTCACCTCCCACCCTTTTACCAGCCAAGTCCCCAAAGCATCCTGCTCGCTGGCTCTCACCCTCAAGAATTTGCACGTTGCACTCTTTCTCCCAGAAAAACTCCTCTCCTTCACTGTTTAGCTCAGTGCTACCTGCCCATCCTGACATCCCAGGGTAAATGCTGCTTCCTTCAGGGCGTTTCCCCAAGTCCCCCAAAGTGAGGCTGCTGGCACTCTGGGTTTTCATGACGCGGCGTCCTGGTGGGCGGCACTCAGTCCAGCCCACCCACACCCCGCACAGTGCCTGGCACGCTCTGGGTACTCGATCATGTCTCTTGAAGGACTTGAAGGAAGATAGTGGGAAGGTGATCACCCGGCCCTGGGGTGATGGCCTCAGGAGAGGAAGGAGGACAAGCCCAGCTCAGACACACCTGCCCAGTCTCCAGCGATGTGGCCACGGACTCACAGCTAAGGGTCCAGCAAAGCTGGGAAAACTGGTGGCAGAGCATGTCCTGAGCTGATTTTGTTTTTTGGTTTTTTTTGGTGGAAAAATAAACAACATCACCCACATTCAGATGCAGCTGTGTAATATCGCCAACACTTCAACATACAACTGAGAATAAAGGGTTCCTAGAGGGAAGGGCAGCACACTTCTCACCATGTGGCCTGAACCTGAAGGTGCACAAGGAAGCAAGGGGACAACATGACATCCCTAGGGCAGCACAGGTGACATCACTGAGCTTGGGAGGCAACGTGGCTGAGGGAGGGCACCCCGAACTGAAGGCAAACAGGCCTGGGTTCAAATTCTGGCTTTACCATATCAACCATTTAACTCTGGGCAAGTTATTGAAAGTGTCTGTGTCTCAGCTTCCCCATCTATAAAATGGGCATGGGTGATACTCAGGCCTGATAACTCTTACCTGGCAGTATGATTTTTAGGATTAGATATAACACATATATATGTCCACAGAGATATAAAAAGTGTTGTCTCCTGCGTGTAATTCCATAAATGGCAGCTGTCATGCTAGGCCAATGCCAGGTGATGTGATAGTGCTTTCTCCTTACCCCTCCCCACCCACAGCCACCTCTCCGATCCAGTCTTTATGCATCAAACCACGTGAGTTATGGACCTTCTTAACCACAGGCCAGAAAGCTGTATTCCCAGAATGGAGTCTGGGCCTTCATATTTAGCCCTGACTCCCTCCCAACCACCCAGGGGATAATCCCCCTGAGAAAAATCCCATAAATAGCCCAATTACTGGAGTGAATATTCTTCCTGGGCTACAGATTGAGCTCCCAGCTCTGATTCCCTAACAGAGTGATCAGAACATGAGCAAATGGGGCTGGTCACAGGTACGGGA